ATACTTGCATGGCTTATATCTAATGTTTAGGAACTCAGGGATAATTAAGTGTAAATACCTGTTCATGCATACACACACACACAGGTGCATTTGGATTTTGGTGACTGAGGTGTACCAATAGGGAAAAATTAGTAGCAAATTAAGTTCTGGGGAAAAGTCATTTGTTAAGCTTACGTAAGATTCTGTGCCATTGATTTTCATTGCCTTTTGTGAAAATCAGTGGCCTTATTTATAATGTTCACAAAATATCAATGAAGAAGACATTTAAGAATCCTAAAAGTCTTATATTCAGTTGCCTAAAGAGAAATATAAAATGTCCTTATTCTTTCTCAGTATTGTTTTCATTAGTAATATATACTTTCTGTTATCTGTATACCTCAAACCATCATATATATTCACAATTTAATACTTGTTATGTATTTTTCAGGGTGTTGATGATGCCTTCTATACATTAGTTCGAGAAATTCGAAAACATAAAGAAAAAATGAGCAAAGATGGTAAAAAGAAGAAAAAGAAGTCAAAGACAAAGTGTATAATTATGTAAATACAATTTGTACTTTTTTCTTAAGGCATACTTAAGTAAAAGTGGTAATTTTTGTACATTACACTAAATTATTAGCATTTGTTTTAGCATTACCTAATTTTCTTTCTGCTCCATCCAAACTGTTAGCTTTTATCTTGAATGCTTATTTTAAAATGACAGTGGAAACTTTTTTTCCTCTAAGTGCCAGTATTCCCTGAGTTTTGGTTTTTGAACTAGCAATGCCTGTGAAAAAGAAACTGAATACCTGAGATTTCTGTCTTGGGGTTTTTGGTGCATGCAGTTGATTACTTCCTATTTTTCTTACCAATTGTGAACTTTGGTGTGAAACAAATTAATGAAGCTTTCAAATCATCCCTATTCTGTGTTTTATCTAGTCGCATACATGGATTAATTACTAATTATAACTTCAGTTGAGATTTCCTGATTGGTTTTCCTGAAACATTGAGGGAACATGAATTTATGGGCTTCCTGTAGATCATCTTGTAGGCATCATGTCCTATAATTTCAGTCACCCTTAATGAATGTAAAGTTACACTTTTCACAAAGGTTTTTCTCCCTCTTTCCACTGCTACATGTCATGCTCCCAAAAATACTATATTTTTTCTATAAAAAGGGAAAAAATGGGAAAAAAATACAAGGCGATGGAAAATAGTAAAAGGCCATTTACTTTCCATATTAGATAAATTCCTATAATACTCTGAATAGCTTTTCCTGTTAAGGCAGACCCAGTATGTAATGAGGATTATAGCAACCATTTTGGGGGCTATATTTACATGCTACTAAATTTTTGTAATAATTGAAAAAATTTTAACATGTATAAAAAATTCTCATAGGAATTAATTATAGTCTCCCTGTGTCGATTGCTCTTTCTTAGCATAACTTTAAATCTTTTCTTGAACTTCCGTCTTTGAAAATAGTTTTAATTCTAGTAGTGATGTTAAAGATTATTTGGGCCAGTTAGCTTGGTAGGTGTTGAAGAGACCAAGGTTGCAAGGCCAGGCCGTGTGTGAACCTTTGAGCTTCACTGAGAGTTTCACAGTATGGACTGCACCCCTGTGGGCTTCCACTGTTGTCATGCATTTCCCGATGGTCAGAATTGGGGACTAGGAGAGAGTGTAGATGGCTCAGCAAGATACATTCTCACTATGTGGTGGTCCTGCTGACAGATCAGGAACATCACTTTTGTTTAAAAAAAATACAACAGAACTTTAAAAAAAAATTATTTTAAATGAGATTTTGGGGTGGGGAATGGCAAGACTTTAATTCTTTTTTTAAACAGTGAAATCAAAAAGTTTCAAAATCTCTAGTATTGCCTAGTTCTCTTTACACTGGCTAAAGTAACATTTCATAAACACTTTACAAGTCTGGTCCATATTTAAGAATCTGTAATGCTTAAAAATAGATAAATTAATATTAACAAAATGATTCTTTCAATGCATTTAAAATGTTACTTATTTTAAAATATTTGAAGTGAGATGGTATGTTGAGGTGAAAATATCACTGGATTAGTAGGAAAGTGACTTAGATTCTAGTTGTCTTTTACAACTCCGATTTCACTTACTGTCCATTTCTTCATGTTAAAAGAAGTCATCTCAAAAGCTGTATCTAGCATTACTACTATGTGATTTACATGCAGTTTACATAAGGATAAACCTGTTTGTCAATCTCAGCACAATCTGTAACTTTTTACCTGTTATTGTCATCACTGCCAGTCTTAGGCAAAATTGTGCAAGAGGTGAAGTTTGTTTTTGAATATCCATTCTCTAGTTTCAGGACTCCTCTCTCACATTAGTGTCATCTTGCCTGCCTACCCTTCTACATGCCCTGTGACTTGAAGCTTTTTCTTTTAATACTTCTAATTCCCCTAACCTCATGATTTATTGCTGCTTTGGATATCTCCATGAAGGCTTCCCAACAAGTCAAATCAAAATGACTACATCTTATTTCCTCACACTCAACATAATCTGACAGATACTATAATCGGATTTGACCTAATAGCTGATTTTCAGGTGGTAACTGTACCAATTTAATCTTGATCCTTTGAACATCATCTCTTTGCTGCCTGGTCCATTAGTGACTAAGTGGGAATTTCATATCTGCTATGAGTAGACAGAACCCTATCCAGTGGAAGGAGAATTCAGTAAAGATAGTGCTACAGGAATTCCTTAGGTAATCTACAACTGGGACTAGCCCTGGGATGATATATTCCATTGTTTTAATACCTAAAATCTTACAATGAAAAATCCTTTAAAATTTAATTAATAAAGCTTGCTTTTTAGCAGAATTCATTTATTCAACAAATATTTGAGTGCCTACTAGATGCCATGCACTACACAGGGCACTGGGGATGTTATGGTATCCCCAAACAAGGGACATACTCTCTATCCTTAAGTAGTGCTTACATTCTACAGTGGTCTGTAATATCCTGGTGAGACGTTTGGCACATGACCCAGAGATAACAATGCATATTTTAGCTTTGCAAAGAAGGGATTTAGTCTTTAAGGTTTCTTCTACTTCTAAAATAATTGTTGTGCTCTGATTCCTATGTAACTACTTTATATAAATCACTTTACTTCATCGTTTTAAAGGAGTAAACTTGATTATATTGTGTTTTATTTGGCATAATTATGTGATTCTCTTGGGACAGTTATAGTACACATTAAGTTGTATGTCAGCTAATAATATTAAAATTCCCAAGTGTGTAATATTCTAGTTGGTCTCTTTGTATAAGTAATTAAAATAGACTTTTAAAATTAAATATTGAATTCTAAAATAGTTTTGTTTGTCTGGATATGATTAAATAGATGCCTAACTAATTCACAGAAAAGGAAACTTCTGGGTAAAAATCAATATGATTTCTGAAATGCTAAACTACAGGTTTATGGAATATTAGGTAGGGTGTTAAGACCTATGTAGTACTTCCTCTTGTTTCTATACAAGAGAAAGAAAGGGCCATATTAAAGGAATCGCAGTGCATAACTGAAGGGGTTTTTAGGACTCTTGAATTTTTGATGTAGCTGGGTAATTGTTTTTTTAAGGCAGTGATAATTATGCTTTATTATGTGAATTTTGAATGGTTTGACAAAAGGTTTGTTTTTCTAGAGATTTTAAAAGGGGAGATAATCCTAGAAATAATATAAATGTTATCTAATTATTACAGCCTTAAAGATAAAAATCCTCATGTTAAAGTTGAGAAAAATTGCTAAATTACGTAGTCTTAGCCATTAACATGTTTGTGGAAGAATGTAGCAGAAGTATGTAGTATAATTTGAATGAATATTCCCAATTAGGAATTCTAGGCTCTCTTTTAACTGAGTCACACTGCATAGGAATTTAGAACCTAACTTCTGTAGGTTATGGAAACCTTTGCCATCATTGCACAATTTTGTCCTAATATGTAAATGTTGTGAGGCATGTTAAGTTGCAGTTTGCACAAGTTCATCTCATTTGTATTCCAGTGATTCTTTTTTCTTCTAACCATTTTTTTATCAACAATATATACACACTCAGTTTTTTTGTAGGCAATAAAACTCTGTCATTTCCATTTGCCAAAAAGTAATAATTTCTTGATAATGATGTATTAATGATTTTTAAAAACCCATCAGTTACTTTAAAGCTGAATTTATATTTAATAACTTGTGTGTTAATATTGAGTAGCATGAAATCTGCATTGAGAAATTAACAGCATACAACTGGTTACATTCCTTCAGAAAATGAAAATTATTTCTAAAGATATATTCACATCAGTTCTTGAAGAATAGTCATAACTAGATTAATACCTGTTTTAGTTTAATAGTTTTAAGTACCTGTTTGGGATGATGATAGGTGACTTAGATAAATTTAGGAAAATCAAAGTTATTACTTGCAGAAATGTCAATTACAGAGGCTCCCCCTCCCCATAGAGCTCAAATGGGTTATGTAACTTTTATCCAAAAGTTTCCACTTCCACTGTCTTGTGTTTTCATGTTGAAAATACTTTTGCATTTTTCCTTTGAGTGCCAATTTCTTACTAGTACTATTTCTTAATGTAACATGTTTACCTGGAATGTATTTTAACTATTTTTGTATAGTGTAAACTGAAACATGCACATTTTGTACATTGTGCTTTTTTTTGTGGGACATATGCAGTGTGATCCAGTTGTTTTCCATCATTTGGTTGCGCTGACCTAGGAATGTTGGTCATATCAAACATTAAATTTAAAAATGACCACTCTTTTAATTAAAATTAACTTTTAAATGTTTATAGGAGTATGTGCTGTGAAGTGATCTGAAATTTGTAATATTTTTGTCATGAACTGTACTGCTCCTAATTATTGTAATGTAATAAAAATAGTTACGGTGACTATGATAGTGTGTGTTTCTTGATGGAAATTTGAAACATTTTCCCCCAATTGATATGGAATAGTTTATAAGCCACAGACACTATAGTATAACAGTGAATCTTTTTTGCAGCTTGTAAATTAGAAATATTCTTTATTTATGGAAGGTGCTGTGAACATTATGTAAAGATTATAAGTGTTTGCTTAAACTTAAAACCAGGTTAAGTTTAGGTTCATTGTCATGTAAACCCATTACAAGTAGATGCAAAACAGATCTGTCTTGATGACAAAAGAAAAGAGTAACATTATTTATTACTTTTATCAAAGAAGGTAATTGATACACAACAGGTGATCTGTTTTAAGGCCCAAAGGGAGCCAGCAGCAAAATTAATAATGGAAATAATTAAATAGGTATGTGTGTAATGCAAGTCGTTGGCAGGCTATTTCAAGTTCAGAAGTAATCTTACTCTATACGTATTATTATTTCTAGAACTGCACTTAAATCATTACCAGGTGCTATTTGTTTTGTAGTGAACCTTGAAAATGTGCTGCTAATGTACCAAATGGGGTCAAAAATAAGGTACTCCTTCAAAAGTTAAGGGGAATAAGTATGCAAGAAATTATTTTGCTTAGTTAAATGTTCATTAAATGGCATTCTCGCCAGCAAAATGGAGAAATGGACTAAGAATAAGTGGCGAAAACCTGTTAGTTAAAAAATGTACTTTAAGTATATTATATTTTCATTCAAAATTTGGTGCACATTAATTTATAATTGGTATTTAGCAATTTGTGTAGGTAAATTGCTATTTTAATATAAAAAATTAGCATAAAGGGTTGCTGATAAAGCTCTGTATGAAGAGAATTTGAAACTCACATAAGGCAGCTCAGATATTTTTTTACATGACATATCTTGCCATTTTAAGTTAGGATTATTTTTATAATATTTGGTAGACATAAACAACTGGCACTGATTTTCAGTCAAATTATATAGTCATAATGGTCAGTTAGTTTTGTTGGTATCTGAATAATAGCGTTGTTTCATAGCTCTATATTTCCTAAGGAAGTATAAGGCTTCTAGCTCTTTCATTACAAATTCACCCCGTCCAATAAGTTCTTTGATCTTCTCTGGGTCCTTCACATCTTTGTTTTTAAGGAAAACATTCTTCAGACGCCTTTTAAAATAGTCTGCTCCTTTTGGATAGTCTCGTCCAAGATACAGCAGCTTAAAAAAGAAAGATTATGTATTTCTAAACAATCCATGTCATATAATAACATTTATAAAACTGGCAATATAATTACTTACATTTTTGTAAAGATTCAATACTTCTCCTCTTAAAGAATTGGCCATTTTCATTTATCATAGAAAGTATCCACTTTTATACATAACACACCTAAAGAAAAGGAAAAATTTTTGCAAATAGCCGTATTGTAGTCTTAAAAAAGAAGCAAAGAAAAAAGATTTTACAGACTGGGAAAATGCTCACTTTTTTTTTTTCCGTTCAATATTTATTGAGCACTTTTATGTTCCAGGTACTGGGATATAGCTATGAACGTGTCAGATAAGATACCTGTTCTCACAGAGGCGGTATCTCTTGAGGGAGCTGTAATAAGCAAACAAGATAATTTTGAATTGTGACAAGTCCTGTGAAGGAAATAGGATAATGAGAGAGAGAAAATGGATTGTCAGAGATAGATATGTAGATGTACTTCCTTTTTTACCAAAGTGGGATGAATGAGAACTAGATTTGAATCCCGGTTGCATAATGTTGCACAAGTTACTTTAACCTTTCTGAGCCTCAGTTCCTTATCGTCAAAGGAAGATCATATTTACCCTGCTTTCAAGGCAAGGCCAGATCCCTTTGGAGGACGTTGAGAAGAGGCCTGATCAAATCTAGAAAGGTGCTCATCTAAGAAAGGCTAGAGTAGAAGAACCAGTGTGTAGTCAAGCAGCTTCACAGTTAATGGTAGATGGGCAATAACACTGGTGGTGATGAGGCCAAGTGAATAACCTATAAGGGGGTACATAAGGAACAGGCAATGTCCAGTGGGAATAGATTATGCTGCTTTAAGTGTAATTTGTTAGTGCTACTAGGGAGAGGCAGCTCCTTAAGGGCACCATGATAGCTTAAACATAGAAAGTAATTCCCAGTAGTTTTATGTTTGTGGCAATTAAATCATAAAATTGCTAACATCATAAGCATTTCGTTCATGATAGGCCCAAAGTAAATGTTAATGTCATTTATAAACTCCCTTAAAATTCTTTAATTTCCATTTTCCCAATGACCTAAGAAAACTGTTTTATACTTTTTTATATCCTTCATTAACATAAGTTTTGTGTGTGTGTAAGGAAGATTGGCCCTGAGCTAACATCTGTTGCCAATCCTCCTCTTTTTGCTTGAGGAAGATTGTTGCTGAGCTAACATCTGTGCCAGTCTTCCTCTATTTTATATGGGACACTGTCACAGCATGGCTTGATAAGCAGTGCTAGATCCATGCCCGGGATCCAAACCTGTGAACCCCTGGCCACTGAGGCGGACACCTGAACTCAACCACTACGCCACCAGGCTGGCCCCTAACATAATTTTTACTCTGCAATAATTTCAATCTTACAGAAAAGTTGCAACATAGTACTAATAACATTTTCTTCTGAACTATTTGAGAATTGCTAACATGATATCCCATCAGCCTGAATACTTTGCAGTGCCATCCAATAGAAATATAGTCAGCCACCTATGTAATTTTACATTTTCTAGTAGCCCATATTAAAAAAGAAAACAAGTGAAATTACTTGAATAATGTATTTTGTTTATATCCAAAATACTATTTCAATGTGTCACACTAGCCACATTTCAAGTGCTCATCAGTACCAATGGCTTAGTTGCTGCCACACTGGACAGCTTTGCTCTAGAGTGTACTTCTGATGAACAAGGACACTTTCTTAGAGAACAACACAACCATTAGAATCAGGAAGTTAACACTGCTACATTACTCCCATTGAATCCACACCCCTTCATGTTTTGGCAGTTGTCCCAAAGACGCCCTTTATAGCAAAAGGATCCAATCCAAGGTTGCACACTGCATTTAGTTTTCATGTCTCTAGCTTTCTTCAATCTGAAACAGTTCCTCAGGATATCCTTGACTTTCACGAACTTGACACTTGTGAAGATCACAAGCCATTTATTTTGTAGCATGTGTCTCATTTTGATGTTAACTCATAGCCAGATTCAGGTTGTGTGGTTGGGAAAAAATATAGACCTGATGGTTTGCTCATTTCATTGCATCCTAACAGGTGGACACAATTCCAATTTGCTCCATTATGGTTGATGTTAATTTTGATCACTTAATTAAGGTAATGTTTGGATTCTCCACTGTAAAGTTACTCTTTTTTTCCCTTTGAAGTTAGGAAGTCTTTTGTGGGAGGTGCTTTGAGATTAAGTATATGTATTCCTAAAAAACCTTTCATCTTGCAAAAACATATTAAAAATAACAGGGCTTATGGGGAAAATAGGTTGGGGGCAGACCACTCAAATCCTATGCAACTGTAAACAGAGCACTAATGAAAAACAGAAATTGGTATCTGGAGAGCTAAGATTGCTCTGAGCACAGCTGGAGACTACCATAGAGATGTTTAAAATGCTCAAAAATAATAGAGTGGCCTCGGACTAGGGGTAGGGGCTGGAGACCAGGAAGGGATCAAGAGGCAGGACAAAAATCGGGATGAGGGATGTGTTTATTATGATTGTGGTGATGGTTACATAGGTGTATGAATATGTCAGATTTATTAAATTGTGTTTAGACTTTAAAGTGTAGTTTATTGTATGTCAGTTATACCTCAGTAAAACTTTTGAAAAATTAGTGTAGATATGCTGGTAAATGCTAAGAGTAGGGCTGGGAGATACTGAGGTACACACGGAAATAGAGATCTATCTAAACCACGAGGCTGCCCTTTAGTAGTCAGGGTAGGTGGTTCAGCCTGCCACAAGTCAATAGCTGCATAAAAGGGGGTATGCCTCTCTGCGGAAGGAGCCCTGGATGTAAGCACTTACTTTAAATTTTTAAAAAATATACTGGAAAGACTCCTGCTGCCAGCAAGAACTTCTTGCTGAAGTTCATAAATAAATCCTATGGGAACCAATATTACTTCCTTGTTAGTACTTGTATAATCATCTTTTTTACTAGTAGTTAGCTAACTCACATAAGTACACAATGTAGAAGAACGTTTTTTTTGAGTTCATTCAGATTAGCTTTCTTGCAGTTTTCTGTTATTTTCCTCCAAGTTGCTCTTTTTCTGCTTGCTTCTAATACTTCTGAGCTTTCCTCTAAGGTCTGGTAATTCTTTTCTGTCCACTCTCACAAGTGAAAGGCCAAAAAAAGCTTTTTAGAAGACCTGCATACATGGTTGCAGCTTCCAGAGTGAGCTTCACTTAGGTGATCTGAGTGGCCTTTATTGGGAACCTCTGATGTCAACATCTTGGATCGTTCCTCTTGGGCTGGTCAGATTCCCCAGAGAAGAGTCTTCTAGTCTTCTGAAGATTTGCCTGTTCAACATGAAAAAGTGGAAGAATGGACGCCACACATTCAGTATTATGTCTACCCAAATTCACCTAATTTGTTTCCAGAGTGGTTCTCATGTACTTACTATGCCTGAGGACATCACAGTCCAGAGACTAGTAGTATTTTGTTCAGATATAAACCTCCAATTTTCTGTGGGAGGCAGGGGTGCAGTCACTTAGAGGTGTGTCTCAAATCGTTTTAACTTAGTCCTCTATAATTTACTTCATTCTTCATTTCCAATCCCAGTGGCCCTGTTAACAGTGCTTTTTGAGAATCATGCAATATAAATTGGGCTTTTCTGGTATGCTAAGTCACATTCATCTGTTCTGTGGCTTCCAAAGTTTTATTGTTGTCATCTTCTCTCTCATTTTTCCAATTTATTGTTATATCCCTTTACTGAAGATTTAGTGGAGTTTTGGAAGAGAGTGAAATTAGAAGAGTGTATTTAACCTGCTATATCAACACCTAATTTCATTTTTAAAACTTTTTTTTTTGGCTGAGAACCATTTTCCAACTTGGTTTAATCTTACTGAAGAATGACTCTTAAGAACTAGGTGCTTTTAAAATAATTCTAAGTTAAATCTACATAGATATAATTTCAAATTGCAAATTATAGACTGTTTAATTCCTGGCAAAGAGCACAGCTTTATTTAATTCACAATTTGTAATGTGTGAAAACTTTTAGAGATGTGGCTTAAATTGTCCTTTTTAGCTGCTACCCTTTTTAGAAATTATGTATAACAAGGATTTACCCAGCAAAAAAGTCACTGCTGTGGTAAGGTAAATTTGTCCCATCCTTTGATATGCTAATTTATAGGAATTAATGTAGTTTATCTTTATTATTGTATGTTGACCTTCAGGCATTTCAGTTTATTTTAGCCTTTGGGAGAAATAGGCTTCCTTGGGTTCACAACTGATGAACAATTTAAGAGCAGCAGCGACCTGGGGCTGCTCCTTAGCCCTGCGTGAAGTCTATTCTTTGTAAAGAGCCAGAGTTGGGGACTGAGAGAAGTCCCTCAGCATGCTGAGAACTTGGATGTGTGTGGTGGCCAAGGCAGGCGAGGGTACAATCCCCATTGCTAGCCTTTTTCCAGTGACTGTGGACTGAGTTAAGACTTAACCAACTCCAGTCCTGGGTTAAGTGAGAATTGTCATTTTACTTGAGCTTACGGTGCCCAAAGCTGTTGTTAATCACTCTTTCCCATGAAGTTCAGATGGCAATAAAAGGAAAAGTGGCAAAGAAAGGCAGTGCAAGATGATTATTTATTGGCTTCTGGTAGACTTGACTCAAACACATGAAGTGCATTTCCCCAAGCCAGTTAAGCCTAAAAACCTTCACACGCAAACTCATTCCAACACACTTGTCAGCGCCAAAGGATATGTAATCAGAGAGGTAGGTGCCAAGAGGTTTAGCCCCTAAAGGCTGGCATACAGCTTGTTCTAGGCCTACCTAGAAGCCAGATTATAAAAGTGAGTTGAAAGGAGATGGTTATGTATGTTCAGAGTGGGTTAGAATGTTCACCTGTCTGAAGGTAAAGAAGAGAGACCAGGAAATGGGCTGTCTTACACTTACGCAGCTTGTAAGAGAATTTTACTAGAGGAGAACCAAGCTCACTGGTATAATCTCATATAGCACAGTGACCCCTAGAACACAGTCCCATGTGTTCTAACACATCCACAGCAATCCCTCGTCCCCAGGAGGGAGGTAGACAGAGTGAGAGCTTCAGCAAGTCCTCTCCCCTAGAGGCCCATCACCAATCCTAGCTGACAGGTTTTGAATCATAAATATTAGCAGTTCAATTTAAAACAAAAGCTTACTTCCATACCAAACGGCTTTAGAACTCTATATGAAGTTGACATTAAGATGTGTTTTTATCTTGCTACCAGGGAGCTGGAGGTGGGATGCAATACTCATTACACAACCTGGATTTCTGTTACAACGGGGATAGTAACACTTTAACCCACAGAAACTAGCTCAGTCAGTAATACTTATTTACTAAAAATACATTTAATCAACAGAGTTGGGATAGAGCGTTATAAATTTAGAATTCAGAGAAGAGATGGTGCCAATAATTTTAAAGTATTTCATGTCTTATGCTAAAACAGGGTCTAGATCCTAAACGGACAGAGAATTCATTTAGGCTCTGGGAGAAGCTTAATTTCTTCTAGTTTTCTTTTGGTCTAAGTTGCCAGTGTCTCTTCATGTCGGGAAGAGACTGAAATTCTGAACATTGTGCGACTGCTTAGTACCATCAGTATGTGACCTTGGGCAAATAACTTACTGAGTCTTGCTAGGCCTCAGCGACCTTCATCCACCTGCAAGGAACACTTTACCCAGGAATTGCTTCAAATCATTTCTAATTCTTGTCTAGAGCGGCTCTTAGGAAAAACGGCATATACCTTGCACAGAAAGTAAACACAGCCATGTTCCGGGAGAAGAATCCGAAGGTCATTAATTTCAAAACAACCAACCCTCCTGAAGCCAGTTTATTTACCTCTTTACCTAAACTGCCAATTGAGCCCCGTGCCCCCGCTAGTCTAAGCTCTGGTGGCCCAGGCGGCCGACCGGAATCGGTCATTTGACCCGACCGCGTAGCCGGCGGCCCCCGTTCCTTCTCGAAGCCCTCACAGAAAGATTCGCCCCAACACCCTAGGGAAATAGGGAGAGAGACTGTGAACGGAGGAAGACGCTCAGAATCCCTTCCCCACACCCGGTGGTCCTCTCCTAGACAATCCTTCACAGCCTCCAGACCCCAGGAGCCGGAAGACAGAACCGAACGCGCCGGCGGCGGCACTCACGCACTTTGCGGCACGCCACAGGCGTAAAAGCCTCCGACCGCTCCGACTCCTCGGTCCGTCAACCGGGAAGCAGGCGGGGGTTGGAGTGGGCAACCTGTCAGGGAAGGGGGCGGGGCGCCGTCCGGAAGAACCCAGCGCGACTGCGCAGACTCGCCCGGAAGACCGGCGCTGTTGCTCTAGGGCGCAGGTGGGCGGGGATTGTTGTCCTGACAACCTGGGAGCGTCTTCCTCACAACGCTGGTCTCTGAGTTGGTCTGCTGCGGAGGGCGTTTTGACTCAGCATGGTGAGCAGGTGGAGTGGGGGAGACAGGTGAAGGGGCGAGCATTGGTTCTCTTTCACCTGGGTTAATGATGTAATAAGAGCTGGTCATATTTTAGAGGGGAGCAGGTCGGTTTAGGAAAGAACCCATTCCCCTGGGCCAGGGGGGGATCGACCTTCTGACGTTTGGCCTTCCCGTCCCGGGTTCGATGGCAGGTGGGAGTCCCAAGCCAGTTTCTGCAAACGGGGGATGGCCGATGCGGCCAGAAGGTGTCCTAATCTCGCACTATTGCTAAGCTTAAAAATTTGTCCCAACCTAGTAACTTCCACTAATGGTACACGTTCCCGTTAAATTGCTTTCTCATTGCAGCTTGGCGGAAAGGTGTTTTTATGCTTCCTCAGTAGTTAATTAAAAGCTGTTGCAATTTACTCTGCTTTGAGAAGTTTTTTTTATGTGGTCTTTTGTGGAAATATGAATTTTTTAGTGATTCAAGGTACTCAGCCTGCCCTGAATTTATTAAGTATGATAAAGCTTCTCGTTTTATTTTTCTGCGCTCCTTGGCTGTCTTGTCTTCTCCAAGAACAGGCCAACATGTAGCTATGAGATTATGTCCTTTCAGATTTTCTTAAATGTGATTTCCATCTCCTATGATTAAGACTAGAGGAGGTGGAAAATGTAATTAGTTATTTAATTCATTAATTAAGTGAAAATATGGAGTGCATTTTTTTGTGCTTGGCAACTAGTTGGGAAGCCAAGGATACAAAGATGAATATGACAGTCTCTCCCTACTCTGGGAGACAGACTAAACAAATTACAATACAGCTTTATAATTGTAACAATTCACGTATCTACAGTGGAGTGACAGGAGTTGGAAACGATGAAATTGGGGCTGGAGGGAGGGAGGAGTGGATGCAGGAAGGAAAGACTAATGCTTTTCAAGCTGTGTTTTAAAGGATGAATACGAGTTCACCAGAAGTGATGGGAAGAAATAGGGAGTGGAGAGAATTCACATCAGGAAGAACAGAAAGTCAATGGACTTTAAGCCAATGTAAAACTGCTGATAAATAGAGGGAACAATAAGCACCTATTTATTACTTCCAAAGGATACATGAGTTTCTTCTTAGATCCCTCTAGAATGTTTCTCAAAATGTGGTCCCTAGAACATTTGCTTCTAACACACCTGGAGTACTTGTTAAAGTGCACATTCCAGGAACAAACTGGACTCCAGATCTACTGTTTGTATTGGTTTCCCAGGGCTGCCACGTAACAAATTACCGTACACTAAGTGGCTTAAACGATAGAAATCTATTGTCTCACAATTCTGGAGGCTGGAAGTCCAAGATCAACGTGTCAGCAGGGCTGTGCTCCCTCGCAGGTGCTAGGGGAGGATCTGTTCAGACCTCTCTCCTAGATTCTGGCAGTTTCTTGGCTTGTGGCCACGTAACTCCATTCTTCACACGGCATTCTCCGTGTGTGTGTGTCTGTGTCCAAATTTCCCCTTTTTATAAGGATACCAGTCATATTGGATTAGACATCTGCCCTATTCCAGCATGATCTCATCTTAATTTAACTAATGACATTGTCAACAACCCTATTTCCAAATAAAGTAAAATTCTGAGGTACTGGGGGATAGGACTTCAATGTATGAATTTTGAGAGAACACAGTTCAAACCGCAACATCTACTGAATCACAATGAGGAGAGGGAAGTGAGTGTGTATACTTTTATGCCAGGAATATGCATTTTTAACAAGCATCGCAGGTGATTCTTATGCCCTCTGAACTTTGAGAACTACTGTACTACATGATGTTCTTAGGATTTGCAGGTGGGGTGAAGATATGTCCTTATCCCAAACGAGTTAAAAGCACTAGTGAGAGTTGACAATTTGCCCATCTTTAAAATATGTCTGCATAAGAATAGGGCAATGTGGGCTGGCCCGGTGGTACAGAGGTTAAGTGTGCACGTTCTGTTTCGGTGTCCTGGTTCGCCAGTTCGACCCTGGGTGTGGACGTGGCACCGCTTGGCAAGCCATGCTGTGGTAGGCACCCCACATATAAAGTAGAGCAGGATGGGCACGGATGTGAGCTCGGGGCCAGTCTTCCTCAGCAAAAAGAGGAGGATTTGCAGCAGATGTTAGCTCAGGGCTAATTTTCCTCCAAAAAAAAAATTAAAAAAAAAAGAATAGGGCAATGCTATTTATATGTTCTGCTGTATAGTACTTATTTCAAGATGGAAGTGTGTTAACTATTAATTGATATTATAATATGATAATAAATATGATAAAATGGAACCTATTCATCAAAATTATATGAGAGCACAGTCCCTACCATTTCCCTTTATGTCATCTCCAGCGTCTCAGAGCATCTTGTGTGTACATCATTAATAAATATCTGCTGAGTGAATGAGTGAAATATATACACTTTTCCAGAAGATGTAATCTACTACACTGTGTCATTTTAAACATATTTTATACCGTGATAATCTTATGGCTTGAACTAGGATTTCTCATGTATATGTCTTCAGGTGTGGAAAGTGCATAATCTCCTAGTCATGTGATCTCCTACAAATTCCTTACCAGAAATCTAAAGGACACATGGAATCGGGAAATTGCAAGTGACATTACTGAAAAATACTTTTAATTGTAAATATTTATTGAAATCCTGTGCTTTCCAAAATAATTTCCAAAAAAGAATAGATCTGCTAAGACCTTGCTGAATAAAATTGTTTTATCAGAGCTTTGTCTGCTTTAAATAACATATTCTCTTTCTATAAAATCAACAATCTATAATTTTACAGAAAGACTATTTCTTTAGAATATGAGACCATTCCCACACTTTCCATCTCGACATTAGTACCAATACTTAGTCAATGACTTATTGTTCTTTGGAACCCTTTAAACTAATGTCTTTTTGACTGCTGCTCTTTTTAGTTCTAGGGCATTTCATTAAACATGGGTCATTGAGTGACTGTCATAAGAAAGAGTGTAAAATTTGTTTATAAAAGATCCTTCAGTGGGTGAACTATTTTATTTTAGTTTTTCCTAGACCCGTTTGTAGCTTTGTCTGAATTCTTTTTTTAAAAGACTTTTTATTTTGAGATAATTTTAGATTTATAGAAAAGTTGCAAAGATGGTACAGAGAATTCCCTTATAGTCTACCCGGCTTCTCCTAATTTTAACATCCTAATAATCATGATACTTTTGTTAAAAATATCTGAATTATTTTTTTAATTTATCAATTCTTTTGTTTTTCCAACCTTTAGGGTCCAAAAACAAAAAAGGTAAGTAGAAATTATCTTCTCAAAATGGATAGTTTTATAAGCACTGACTTGTACAAACTGAATTTTTAAACATTTTTCTAGTTAGTTTTATTATAATTTATCGAGTTTAATAAGCTTCCTTCCTTTTTAGATATTAATGCTGTTTAAATCATGGAATAATCCTTACCAATAACAGGACGTATTTCAAATTTGACATAAAAAGATATTTCTAGTTTCACAAAGACTTGAAAAAATATCCTTTAATTTTTACTTGTATAGATTTGAGGCTTTTTATTACTTGTGCTCTAGAAAATGCTGGATTAGGAACCCCTTTTCTTCATTCTAGATAAACATGTAAGAATTTAGTTACAAAACCTGCTGTGACTTGAAAGTGGACCCTAAGGTAATATGTCTTTAAATGGGTTGCATGATAACACATAGTTGATTTCTTTTGTACTTTGTAGAAATTTGAGTTCAATAAGGGGTGTCTAGAATGCATTTTTCTCTCTTCTTACTAGATTTATGGATTTATGCTTTAGAGCAGAGATTATAATTACTTGACTGGCAAGCCAGATTTAGCCAACAGACATATTTTTATTTTATCTAAAAGATTTTTTTTTTAAATCAGTTGCTAAACTATTTTCACACAAAAATATGATTTCTGTCTATCCTTGAAAGATTAGAAGCCCCATAACATTGTGCCTACAGTCTTGTCAGGCGATAGTTGGCTGGACTGAGTAGCAGCCGTCTCTTTTAGAAAAGCATCGACTCTTCAGTTTGCGGTAGTTCTGACCGTGGACTCTTTACTGTATTTACCTTCCTGATGCCAGGAGGAATTTGGGTTTAGAATGCTGTCTTTAAGGCATATCTCAAAAGTCATTTCTCTGTAAATTTTCCTACCATTCTCTTTTGTGGAATCAGTTATACCATCTGTGTTCTCATAGCACATGCATGTGTATGTGCCTCAGTTATAACCCTTATATCATATTATATAATCTGTGTAATTTAGGTTATTATTGTGAGCTGTTCAAGGTCAAGAGCATGTCATATTTATTTTCACGTCCATAGTGTTTATCACAGTGCCTGGCACATAGTTGAAATTCAGTCAATATTTGTCAAATGAATATGTGAAACCCCATTTACCCTACCACCACTTAAAAACGTTTGGTCCCTTGATTGTTTTGAAGAAATGCTTATGTAAATGTGTATTCAATATTTACGCAATTAAATATTTCTTCAAGAAATACTGTTGAGTGCCTTCTGTGTTTGCCTTTTTTTTGGTCACTTGGACCCACTACCAACCTGATACTGTTGTAGGGGCTGTGGATGTACCTGAATAAAATCCATTAAGCCTCTGAACACGCTCTTACGGGGGAAGTACTCTGGAGGGCTACAGTTATTTATATGTGGGTCTACAATAGTTTATTGGTTTGTGTGGACATTCATTTTCGGCTTTAGATTGTGAAACCTTAGAGGCGTTGTTTTAAATCTGAAAACTCATTGTTCTAAATGACTCTGATGCTTAATCATGTATGCATGGGTGCTAAATAAATACTTCTGGATTATTTTGTTCATAGTGTTGTTTCCTTTAGAGAATGGTGAGATT